AGTCAGTTTTGCATCGAATTGTCATTGGCGATGAAAAATGGATTTATTTTAAGAACTGTAAACGTAGAAAAGCATGGGTTAAACCGGGACAACCATCAACATCGACTGCAAAAACAGATCGATTCGGCAAGAAGGCAATGCTCTGTGTTTGGTGTGATCAGAAGAGTGTGGTATATCATGAGCTTCTAAAAGCTGGTGAAACTGTTAATCCTAATCGCTACAGACAACGAATGATCAATTTGAACCATTCATTGATCGAAAAACGGCCGACACTGCACCTGCACACAAAGCAAAATCGGTTCAGGATACAATCAGAGTACTTGGCTGGGAGCTGCTACCCCATCAAATGAAGTTTGTTATTATTTAAATTTATCAAACTACCTTCGCAAATTTCTTTAAAATTTTAAAAAACATATAGTTTTCAAATCAAAATTAATTAAAATTCAAAAAAAACTTTAAATTTCCTTACTTTCTACCGATTTTTCGCTACTCATCTTTTTTCTTGCACATTTTCGTTTTCTTGTTTTTATGTGTGTATGCTCGTAACCACCCTGCAGCTTTCTCTTTATACATATGTATGTATATAAATATGTAATACGATTTCTTTTTCATTCTTCACCACTTCCTTTTGTTTTATGCTTAATTAAATATTCATCAAACAAAAAGGGAAGACAAATGAAAACTTTTAAATTCTCATCAACACCCCTCACTCAAAAACAGCGTGGTGAGTAGTCAATAGCTGCACTACTACCACTTCATCTATCATAAGCTTGCTTTCAAGCCAACCCATGCCGCCACGCAAAAACCTTTACGATTTTTCAACACCATAATTATTTGCGTTGACTGGCATTGTTTTGTTTTTGTTTACTTTACAGTTACGGCCACGCTTAACATACATGCTACGCACACACATATATACACAAACTTATAATCGCAAGCTTCTTCTAGTGTGCATATGAGTAAACTTTAAACCTTTTTCTCGTTGCTCATTTGCATCACATACTTACGCACTCACTCTCGCAACTGTTAGCCAGCTGAATTGTGGGTGTGGCAAAAGAAAATGTTAGGCATTTCTTATGCTTTGTTGAATGCTGAGCACTTCTTCTTCTTATAAGCTTCACACACGCATGAAATTCATATGTCCGTTTTAATCAATAACAACAAATCACCGTTTATATTTTGTATTTTCAAACCGCTGGTCCGTCAACCACCGTACGATGGGGGTCTCCACACGCTTTCCTCGCCTACAACCCTTCCTCTTGTAGTTGGCAACACGTTTCGTCAGCTACTTTTGAGACACTTGTGTATTCCCTTTTGGGACATTAAAATCCCATTTGAACGCATACATCCTCATATATCCAGTCTGTGTGATTTCTTAGTGAAGTGCTTTGCCGTTGCCTACTTTTGGGGTGTTCTATGCGCTTCTTTCATATAGTTATGTATTTACATGTTCATATGTGTGTTTGTACGTATGGCTGTGTGTGTGAGTATGTGTTTGCAAACACATATGCTAGTGTCCGTCCACGTTGTCTTGTTTGCCAACTTCAATTTCAATTTAACATATGCAAAGTTTTCACTTATAATACAATTACAAAAACAATGGCGAGTCATTTTATACACATAATACCTTACACACACACAAATGAGTATTACTTACACATACATATATACAAATACATTAATATAGTTTATGCGCTGTTGTGTAAACAATGGTTATAAGTAAAGATAAACTTGAAATATTGTAAACTTTTCTTTATTCATTTAAATGGTAAATTTATTTATTAGACTTGGTGTATGTACATATGTATGTGTGCTTTATGGATATACCAGAAATCACATCGAACTTGCAAGACTTTCATGTGTGTTTTTAGAAAAGTTTATGAATGGTGGGCGTGATTGCGTTCTACGGATTCAGTGGCTTGTATTGCGTGCCAATTAAATCTGGATATGGTAGACGGGGGTCATGTTTGTTGATTCGCTTTGTTTTATATTATACTAGTTACTGGGTTAATCCCATGCAATTTTGATAGCTGTATACCATACTTCCTTCCAATTGAATTATACTCTAGTAGATCCCTTTTTAGTTCATTAAAGAGATCAAAGACTTCGTATAAGTAGCCACGATCAATACTAGAAATAAAATCGGTTGTCCAAGTTGTATTTCGTTCAAAAATACTACCAACTAGTAGTGAAGATTGCAGCAGTGTCAGTTGTCTATATTTTCGTATAAGATTTTCGATCTGAAATTTTGACTTGTAAATTCTGAGACTCATTTCATTTCATATAAACTTCGTTCTTCGTTTCTTGAGCATTACTGAGGTTATTGAGAATAGAATCAGAAAATTTAGAAGTTTCAGAGAAGATGGCTGCAGGAATGCTGCTGATTCGGCTGACTATTGTTTCTGATATATATTTTTGTTTTTGGATTTTTATTGCTTTTCCTCGGAAGGCGTAAAGTGAGTTTGTGGGGTTGAGATTGAAGTTTGCTTATTTTTTACTCTTAAAAGTCGTATATATTAAATTAATTTCAAGGCATGTTCGAGAGCAAAGCATAGCTTCTTCGAAGAATAACGTTACAGCTGCCATATTTATTTATTTAACCATATTGAACGAATTGGTGATTGTGTGGATCGAGTTATATCCATTTACTCTCATTTCTATAGTCATATCTTGAAGGAAGGCTCGGCTGATAGTATAATAAATCTTTTGAAGCTCAAGAAGAATAAAAGGTAAAGAATTTTTTGCACTCCACTTTATATAAGTAAAAATATAGCTAAAGACATGAAATACTTACAATGAATTAGAAAATAATATCATGAAGATTAAGCCAATTATCGAAATATCGGGAAAAATTTCTATGGGGAAAAAATTCACTACAAATACTGTTATATAAAAAAATTCGATCAGATTAGTTGTTGTCACGCTAAAATTAAACATTTGTTAGATTGGTTACCGTACACTTTATCTTATTATAACTGTATCTGCTGCTCCAACTCATTAGCATTTACATATGAATTCCATATATGTTTCATAAAATCAAAAAAGTTGTTCACATACGTCTTCCACGAAACCCTTCAAAGAAATATCTAGACTTACAAAACTTGCACAGGGCACATTGCAAAAGATCAGATCTTTTATTTCACATCTACTTTGCTAAGAAAATGCTCAACAGATAAGTGGGGGCGCAACGAAGTTCAAATTGTTTACACTTTACATACATAATTATATGAGTCTATTGATATTTGACTTTTCTGTTTTTAGTTTGACCCTAATATAGAAAATGCTACTGGTAGAGTGTTTTGGTTATTGTTATGGGTATAAATATGCAAAGCATTGTTACACTTTTAAAGGGGACTTCAATTGCGGAGGTGATATAAGTCTATAGTTTTTTTTGCGGCCTGTCGGGTTATAAAAACATGAAAAGCTAGATTAGCCATATCACTGAAACCCATGGCATTTGCACTGCAATAAGTCTTTATCAGAATTTACTATTCTGAATTTCACATTCAAAGCTTTACTTCAAAATAATCTGGTCCGCTAAATTAAGTATATATCGCTTATTTTTTTCTTATTGAACTTGTGGAACGTTTCGAAATACTAATTTTTTGAAAGCGTCGTTTATGCTTTACCTCTGTGGCGAAATACTAAATAAAATATTTAATACAAATTTGCTGTCTAATTTTATAAATACATCTTACATACATATATTGTTCTTCTTACATTTCTCTGTCTGCTCTTATTGGATAACCCTTTACGCATATGCACATAAACATCATATTTTATAGTTTTCTGTAATCATTTCAACACAAACAAATGCTCCAATTTCAATTTAAATTTGGAAAGTATTTTTAGACACTACCCCCTAAAATAATGTAACAATATTTAGTTTTCGTCAAACATTTCAAAGTGATCTGACGAAGATTAATGAAGTCAGTGGTGTAAATGTCCATACGTACAAGATATTTCACAGTATTGTGATAGGTCAGAGCTATTATAAGACAGCACAGAAGAGCTGTTAATGTTTTCCTTTTTCAGGTTTCGAATTCATTAAAAAATTTGTAAAAAATTAATTTTTTTTATACATAAAAATTACGTGTCACGTTGTTTGTTCGCAATGAACTCTTACACTACTGATCGATTTAAACGAAGTTTTGCACATTCTGAACATAATCCAAATAAAAGATAGGATAGTTTATGTTTTAAAGTATGGTCGCAATCTTTTTATACTCTCTCTCTCTTGTAGTATAATAGTTTTTTCCGCTAACACCTTAAAGTAATAGAAATAGTTACCGAGTTATGTATATATTCAAATTTGTCAGGATGATGACCATTGGTTCCCGTGTGTCTGTTCATCCGTCCGTCAAGCGATACCTTAAACAAAAATCGAGATCTATACTCGCACGTTGTAAAGTAAAATCTAAATTGGCAATTTTATGACTTTTTCTGCACGTTTCCAATTCATTCAAAATATCTTGTTGCGGCGGAACTGCTCTTGACATTGTGATGTTTTGGGTTCAGCGCTTCTATGACGCACCCAGTTCATTGAATTTCGGCAATTTTATTATTTTCGCAAAAAAGGCATACATATTTCAAATATTTCACTGAAAGCCCAAAAGCTAAAAGTCAAAAGTATATGCTAATCTTTTTATTAATACTATGCAAAAAGCACGAAGCATTTCCTTTGCTAAAAACGGCGACTGGTCACCATTCACAAATAAAATATGTCATGAAAAAATTTTATTCTTAAAATTACACTGTAAAAATTAAATTGAGTTAATTTTTTTTTTGGAGACTTTTAAAAGTAGTATAACAAAAATTTAAGAGGTGAGTTGAAGCGGTCTCTATGTTTAACATAAAGTAGTGTCTCAGTTTACCCAGAACAGGATATATTAAGTTTGCCACCAAATTTTCAACATTCAGAAGAAAACATCACAAACCTTATAATAGAAGGGGTGTTTTTTTAGACATGTCGTTTTCAAGAAGAAATAAAACGCGTATTGTTTGATTTTATGGCAAGGAATTTAGCTTTAATATTAAGATGAAGGTTTGTCAGTATGTTTTAAAAATGATTTCGGTTAAGTGGGTCGAATAAATTCCAACCGAGAGCCCAATTTTCGACCACTTTTAGCAGTAATTTGGCCCATATGTCTGCAATAACGCGCCGAATATTCTCTTTCATAGCGTCAATCATATCAGGCTTATCTGCGCAGACAAGCGACTTCACATAACCCCCTCCCACTCGCCACCATGCGAGATAATACGCTCACCAAAAGTTTCCTTCAATAAATTGATTGTTTCGTCTGCTGTATGACAAGTAGCACCGTCTTGTTTTAGCCAAAGGTTGTCCATATCACCATCCTCCAATCGAAACACAAAAAGTCGTTAATCATGGCTCTATAACGCTTCCCATTGACTGTAATACTATCGTCGTCTTCATTTTTGAAGAAATATGGACCAATGATACCCTCTGTCTCATAGAGTACACCAAACAGTGACTTTTTGCGACAATTCTTGCACAAGTTGGACCAAGTTGGACTTTGTAAGTCCGCGAAATTCTTCCGCCAAAATCTTTCTTAAAGAATATGGGAATAGCTTCAATTGTTGCCGGTGATGACGAATGCATTCATTCGGGTCTTCTTCGGTACTCTGCTCCACAGCATAGTCTCTTGTGGTTTTTACTATATGCATAAAACCATTAATCGATTGTTTTTCATTCTTTTCTGAAGTGATAAGAAAAAGATCGCTTTTTGAAATTCATTCATTTGAAGTTTTATGTTTAACATTTTTAATAGGAAACCGTGAGAAATAGTTCATTCACCATAAATACTTGGGCATTCGCAACGGATTTGAAAGAAATATAATTTTTTTCGATAATTTTTTCTCTAGTAAAACCATAAATAAACGCACAATCGTCTTACTAGCGTGACTTATCAACAACTTGACCTATGTTGATATGTGCGTAGCATTAACGCTTAAGAAAAACTCGGAGAACTCAGTTAATTTAATCTCATTAAAAACTGTAGGTGCTTAGTAATAGCCAAGGGCTTGATGATAGCACTCAAGCGACCACTACAATCATAGAAGTGCATCGTTGTAACATCAGGTTTTTCTAGTTATCGCAACGCAATACGCTATCGTAATGGCGCGCACGTTCTAGTGTGATGACGTTTCAAAACATTGCTTAAAGCTTAGTCTCAAACAAGTTCTAACTTGAGTAAGTATGTAACTTGAGATTACGACGCCGCTAAAATGCATTTCTACGGGTGACTAATGAATGGATCGTTAAATTTATCAGATGATCGTAAATGCAAGCTTTTATTTTGTAATGAGCAACTACTAGACGATAGCGTTGGATTGCGTCAAAGAGCGACGTCGGAAGTGCTATTTGTACTCTTACGAGTATATGCTGACATTTAAACTTTCTCTAAAATATATGGTATTCTATACATGCACATATACGAATACAATAGATTTCGGGTGTCAAAGATTTTCGTAGAATGTACGTGCCATGTAAATATATAATATGTATATGTATGTGTATACATTGCTCGTCAAAAGTGTGTTCACAGTAGTAAAACAGGAAAATCTATTTTTCTCTATTAGGAAGATTTATAATAATATTATATAAAATAGTGAATGTTAAAAATGAAGTTACAACTTCCAGGAATTTAAAAAAAGTTATGAAATATTATTGTATATACTTGCTATATATTTGCCATGAATAACCTCAAATTTTATAAAGGGTATATATTCACCGTAGTGAGCCATGTTATGTTAAATATATATAATATATAAACGAGGATTGACTTTTATATTATATTTCGGGATTAGAGAACACAAACAAATCTTAGTCATCGAAAATCGCTTTATTGTTTTTAAAAATATTCTCAATCAAGACCTATATACTTATGCATACCGAAACAATTTTCGAAGCACTTTTGGCACTCTAATTGAGGTGTCTCCAAAACATGAGTTCTGAACGCATCAACCGCCTCTTCACTTTTGCTGCGTTAATTCACGTCGGAAATTGCAAAAGATGATTGCGCCAAAATTTTCGCAGTTTAATTAAATTGAATATTTTAAGTTACTTTTAAGAACACAAACATCGCTCGTATCATCGTAACATCAAAAATATCAAACTTTACGATAAAGAAATTGGAAATTTTCATAACTGTAAATTTTGCCTTTTTCAATCACAACTATGTACTTGTAGTAGGTACTTTGATTTTGAAATTTCTCTTAACCCAGGGTTATGCTGTCTACCATTATTGACCAGAAAAAATTATGAACTTGCTGTGGCGCATGTGGTCTTGTTCGTTAGCTACTGTTTTCCAATAGCGATCTCTTTTTCACGGTAAAGTTTGAATATTTTAATATACTACCGATACTGGGAAGAAGGCTCAGGGCGGTTTAATATTGTTACGGCTTTCCAGTTGATATTCTCCTAAAGAGAGGATATTATATTCCAGAAATAAAATAAATTAAAAAGCATTCACATGGTTTTGGGAACTTTTCGGCTGAAAGTTCGAAACCGCATTCACATGAGTTGGAAACTTTATCCTGACGCTCATTGTATAATTTTCGGAGACATGTTGAAGTTCAAACGATCAGGTGTTAGCACAATCTATTCACAATCTATTGAATAGTAAATATTCTATATTCTCGCGCCTCTAACGGGTAGATAACTAGTGCTGGTGTTCTTCTCTCACACACCTATAAATACAAATATTTAAACTGCAATTGTTGGTGTTCATGTTTATATATATATATGCGTGTGTATGTGTGCGTTTGTGCACTCGTCATAACTTTACAACATTTGTCGTTTGCGCCAGCATTCATTTTCCGCTCGTTTGACTTCACTTTTGTGCGTTACAAAGCGTTCGCTGCTATCGCGTGATTTGCTCTTATTTTCCAAAGATTTTTATCACTCACTTGGGGAAATGCGCATTTGAAAATAAAAATATGTAAATATAAATTTTGAATCATTTCAGTTCCGTGCGGTAAAATGGTGTGAGCTTCAGCGCATATTTGTAAGCCAGTGTACGCGTTCCAGAGCGTATGTCTGTGTGTGTGTTTATAGTGTGGTTATATGTTTTGATCTGTTGCTTACGATTTTGAGATCAGTATAAAAAGCGGCGTTCTTCGAAGAGTATCACCACAAAAGTTCAACGTCAAGTGTGTGTAGAGCAAGTGCGCTGTGTTGCAAGGTATTTTTTGATCGTTATTTTTGCGTTTTTTTGGTGTATTGATCTCTCGTGTTTTAAACGCCGCTTATGGTTTTAGAAAAAATTTCTAAAAAATAAAAAAACTATTACGTAAAAATTAAAAAATTATTAAGTTGAAATTAAAAATTTTAAATTCAAAAATTATAATACAAAATTCGAAAAAAATATTTAAAAAAATTTCACCGACAACATGAATCTCGCTTCGCTATATCACCGCGCCAGCGCTGTGCAGCGCCGCGATTCGAAACAAATCTTTCAAGAATACATCAAAGTCATGAAATGGCGCGCTGACGGTTTTGACACGATCATCGATATCGGTTCCGGTTCGGGTAATGTGCTTATGGACTACATATATCCGCTGCTGCCGCCTACATTCAAAACCATTTTGTCTACAGACATCTCGGCGCGTATGGTGGAATTCGCGCGCCAAAATTACGGTTATATTAAGCGTGCTCAGTTCGAGGTGCTCGATATAGTCTGTGCAGAGTTGCCACTGCAACTTTGCAATCGTTTCGATCATGTCACCTCGTTCTATTGCCTGCATTGGGTGCAAGATCAAAAGTAAGTTTAGGCGCCTTTAAGCTTGCTAAGCTTGTACGAGTTATGTGTGTATAATATTTTGCTTTTATAGACGCGCCTTACAGAATATCCGTCAGCTGTTGCGCGTGAGTGGTGGTGATTGCCTGCTCGTGTTTCTCGCAAATAATCCCATATACGATGTGTACCTGGAATTGGCGAAGACGCCAAAATGGCGCGATTATATGCGTGATGTGCAGCAGTTCATCTCACCGTTACACAGCAGCAGTGATCCAGGTGCGCAGTTCAGCAAGTTGTTGGAGGAGACGGGGTTTGTGGACTACACTGTAGATATACGCAATGAGATATACGTTTATGATGGCACACAGAATGTAAAAGGTGGGTGTATATCTCAAATAATTAATTATTTTTTGCTATAAAAACAAATTTGATTTACTCTCACAGATAATGTGAAGGCGATTTGTCCCTTCTTAGAGCGTATGTCGCCAGCTATGCAGGAGGACTTTCTGGATGATATTGTACAGTGTGTGGCTGACATGAATCTGCGCGAAGCCGATATCAATACAAAAGATTTCAAATTTATTGCGCCGTACAAATTAGTTGTGGTCTATGCGCGAAAGCCGAACGAATTTTTAAGCACAATGATCGAGGTGCCAGAGCGTGCGACAAAGCGTTTGATGTGATTGGATTAGCAAAAGTAGCTAAAGTTTTAGAACAATTATAGTTTAATAGCTTAGTGACATTAATCTAGTTTGTAAATGTGCTTCCAATTTATTTCATTAATGCATTTATTTTATTGATGTGTTTCAAAGTAGTTATAACCTCAAATTTATATGTGCTTTTTCACATCGCTATTAAAAGATAAGTTGCAGCAGTAAATATTTGAGCAAATTTGATATTATATAGAATATATATTATGCTATCTGTGAGGCTTTTACTGCCTTCGTTGGCGGTATTTCACTACAAAGTTTTTCAGAAAGTTTTCATGCATAAACTTTATTGGCGCTTTCATACAGTGGTTTCAAAATTATCGCACGACAGAAGATGTAATTAAGCAGTGAATATTTTCTTTTGATTATATTTCATAATTATCGATGTGACTCAACAAGATAACGAAACTAAGTTAAGAATTAAAATTATTATAGTTCAAAGAACCTTCAGTCATTCGCATCGTAAAACCCCAAACAATGAATCATCTCGTTCAAAACTAGCTGTTATGCAAGAATATTGTTGCTGGGTACGAAAAATGTTTCAGTAAGGCAGCTATTATGTCTTGCAATGTTTTTAGTCTCCGAAAACATCGAATTAATTAGTTATACTCTATAAAATCCCACTTTTTCTGTTCGGTCGCGTCATGAGCAAAATACGAGACCAACAAATTTTGTAGCCGAAAGAGAAGAAGGAGAAGTCATTTCTTGGAGAGAAAAGGTCGTGTACAAAATTTCAGATTAACTTCTCAATAACTAAGGGACTAGATCGTGTATATACAGACAGTCAGACGGACATGGCTAAATCGACTCAGCTCGTCCCGCTGATCATTTATGTATATATTTTATAGGGTCTCCGACGTTTCCTTATGGCTGTAACAAACTTCGTGGCAAACTTAATATATCCTGTTCAGGGTATAATAATATAATAGTTTTGACTATTACTTTCGTCTTCTTTAACTACTCTAAATAAATACAAATAAATAATAAACAAACAAATATTCGGATAAAATATTAGTAATCAAACTGTCAAAAGTCTTTTATTTCTCTGCAACCATAAATCGATTATCTAATGATTATTATCGCTTGATCACACATAGTTTAATTGGTTTTATTGGATTACTCTTTTAGCGAATATTGAATTTGAAAACTTCGATGTAAGCCCAATAAGTATTAAAGTTTGGGTTGCACTTCGGTTGATATCTATACAGTACTTACTAGAGGATAAGAGGATCCTCAATTTAACATATACTAATCGGAATGACTATATTATTTTGAGAAATGTTCTTCTTAAAGTTAAACTTAATATTTTTTTATTATTATTATGTTTATTTTAATGTTTTTAAATAACGAACCACGACCGGCTGGCCTAAAGTGATCATTATTTACAATAACAGAAGATATTTAAACTAGGCAGATAAGAGTGATTTACAATTAGAATATCTACTGTTGGAGTGTCACTAAATCTGTTCATCTAAGATTACTGTATAGGTAGTTGGGGCAGTAAAACCCATAATTACTACATGATTTTATGAAGACTAATAGAAGCCTGAATAAAATGCTAGTATAATGGCTATGAAATATATCTATATTTTATGAACTTCTGAAACACTTTTTTCGATCTAAATTTCCAACTCCCTACACAAAGATAAAAAGTTTAAATACTCAGTTAAAAGTTAACTAATTCCAAATGTAATTGCAATAAAATGCAACAACAGTTGTGAAATTAAAATTTCAGAAACTTCAAAGCGTTCTTCAAAGCTATTTTTCATGTCTTCGTCACACTTCAAAGCGCCAATGCGTCAGCTACCAGTCGTCGCCAACAGACGCCACACCATTCGCCATAGTTTCTGAATCAATTTTTCAACTCTGACGACTATTTCGTAATTGAAATGAGCAAATGATAAGGAAAATCGAAAGTACCGTAAGCGAAAACAAATAAAGTAATGCGCCCAGAGCAACGGCAGTGGGCAAAAGTCATCAACAGAAGAGTGTGGTGTGAGTGACGATATCTGACTTAAGAAATTAGCCAAATTGTGAGCAATGAAGCGGAAATGAAACAAACGAATAAGAAATTCCAGCTTCCGGATGATGCAGCCGGCTATGTTTATCTAACCAATTAAATGCTTAAGAAAGCGTTAAAGCATTTGTAAATACTTGAAGAAATTTCTTGCAACGGCTAGGCATCGGTGGAGCTGGTGGAGCGAGGCCGAAATTCATTACAAACAAATTAGCAAATAAATCAAATTTCAATACGAAAATTGTTTGCGTAAACAATTTTACAATTTTACAATTTAGAAGGGCTGCCACAACCCAACGGACGGCAGCGTGGAGTTGGCATTCCAGCGCGAGCTGATGAGTGGCGGCAGCAATTAATCCTAACATCAGCTGGCTGGTTCACTGTCTACGCCGATGATTGACTCATGCCTAAACATTTTGACGTCTACAAACCGACGGCTAAGCGGCAAATAGCTTGGCATGCCAGCGAGCTGGAAGCGCTACACTTGCCATTGACACTATTTTGCTTGCAATAAACACCCCCAGTCGAGTTGCTTTCAAGTAACACGGCATTACTCTTCGTGCTGCTGGCGCTTCAAGTGGCGGCGCAAATCTTTGAAAATCATTTATCTAAATTAATTCCTGTCGTTTACATTTGAAGAACAAATCAAAGATTAAGACAAACATTAGTTTTAACCGCGCACCCATAGCTCGTAACTGCGTCCCAAATATGCACAACCACATGCCGTTAGCAGTCGCTGTGTCTTCGCTCTACGCTCACTCCTCCCCCCTGCAGTTTCACTTTTGTTTTTGTGTCTTGGGCGTGAGTTGCGGCTCAAATTAAATACAGCAAGCGTATAATAAATGACATGCTCGCACATCGTAGCTGAACTCCGGCTGCTTATGTGCAGATTTTCACGAAGATTTGACAAAGATTTCTATCAACATTGAAGTTTGCTGTCAGGAGACACTCAATGTGCCATATATATAAATATGTTATGTATATGTTTGTGTGCATTACGAAGAAGTTTTGGATAAACGATTTGTATTGGGGTTCGACTTGCCGGCTAGGCTAGAAGCTGTGTTCTCCTGTCGCTGCATACATATGTGTGAAACAAACCCTTGCTTCCTGCCGTCAAAACGGAATTGTCGAAAATTTACATATCGCTTAGCGATAATAACTCATTTTGAAATTCCACCACAATTTTCGAAAAAAAAACAATTAAAATTGTTACTTGCTCACACATTGAAAGAGGTAAGCATATTTTCTTGTAGTATATATGAGTTCGAGTGAGCGGTCGGCATGTGTACACCGCGCAAAATGATATAGTAGATATTAGCGAGGTTATACTCGAGATTCCTGAAAACCGCTATACAAAAATATGAACACATACGCGGAAGAAAACCAGCTGTTAAAAAGCGAGTTTATCATAAATGTAGATTTTTATGGCAAAACCATGTCAGTAAGGTCAATATAAGCTTTGAAGCAGTACCCTAAATTACAGAAGAGGAGTTTCGCAAAACGAATTTAGAGTTCAGGAAGCTTATCAGTCCCTGCCGCAGTTTCATGTAAGCAGTTGCTAAACAAAGACTTAACAATCTCAGTTGATTTTTTTCTATCACTCTCGAATATGAATAAAAATCTTAACTTTTCGTTAAAATCAAACTTTTCACCTTCGCTATACTTTTTACGCACTGGAATACAACCCAGCGTACTGTCAGGTGGTTGAAAAAAATATTACCGTCAATTGCTCTGAGTACCATATCTTTCTTGTTCGAATACTTAACAAGCGTCCTCTTACAAGTATTAGAATCTCTAACGAAATAATTTTGAAACTGAGTCTTTTCTCTAAAGATTTTTATTTCCTAGTTGAATTTACGGATAAACCATTTCAGATTTAAGACTTTGACGAAGCTTTGTTAAACAAATAATTTATTCGATCTGATTTTATTATTTTGAGAATTGTGGGTTTCTGATTGGCGAGACACAAGTAATATTGCTGCCCATTCATAACAAATTAGCTTCGTTCGTAATTTCGTATTTTGTTTTTCGTCTATAACTTTTGCTACAATCGGTTTTCGATTTTGAGCGCTTTTCGAACAGTCAAAAGGCTGATTTGGAGTGACTTTAATAGCATTGAACAGCCGTTCACCCGACAGTAACGTAGACGGACCCTAAATTTTACACAACAGGGGACTGATGAGATTAGATGTAATGGGTGATGGCCGCCAAAAATACTTTATTTCTTGATTTGAAGCGATATCTTGCTAAAATATATGCAGATAGGTGGATTCACTATTGTTGAGCTCTGAAAAGAAGATAATTTTCATTGGATTGAGGCGTATTGATGTTGAGCAGATCACGTTCTCATTCCAAATAACTGTGACGATTAAATGACAAACTTTTTGAGATTTTCTAGATGTTTGTACTAAAATATTACTTTTTGGTCAGTTTAGCCAATAATCAATAGTGAATCCAGTTTAATCGGAATCGGGATCAGCTGATCAGCAAGAGGCATAAAACCTCTTTGACGATGCCTTTATTCATCACAAAAGGTGCCAAGCGAGCTTCTGCTCTTACCAGAAAGTCCATTAAACTTCTAGTAGAAAATCAAGCCGCAATTAAGGCTATACGTAGCGCCTTTACTAAGTCTCACTGCGTTAGACTTTGTAAGGCGGCAATAACTAGACTTTCAGTTGGAACCTCGATAAGAATCTACTAGGTACCCAGTATCAAAGCAAAAGCAGACGTATTGGCCCGCTCGAGGGTATACAGGAATGCAGTTCCCCTAAGCTGCCCTATACCATTCAGCTCGTTCAAGCGTTGCTTCAATTCTTAAAAAACGCCTCAGATCTGGGAACGCTAGCAACACAGTGCATGCCTCGAATGTACTTTGTGGTAGTGTTGCTGGTGAGCATACCAAAAAGTTTCTACGTGAATTAAATAACATTGTAGCGGTCATCTTAGAGCACCTACCTTTATAATCCCTTCTTCTAAACTTGCAAAAGTGGAGTCGGCAGAATGCAGAGCATCCAGAGGATGGTGAAACGCTGGAATGTTACATTCGTGAATGCCAAGCCTGCAGCCGGTGTGAAAGGATATTTTTCACGGTTCCCAATATTTTAACTTAAAAGACAAAGGTATTTTATCAAATCCACTGAGTTGCTGGATAAGGCTTAATTGTTTACCTCTTGGGAACATATTGAGCCTGCGATCCGGCGCTTATGGGTCTTGCTTTTAAACCAACTAACCACACATAGTTTTTTACTTTCCCTCAAATTCTGTCTTCTTACTTGGGTAAAGTTTAAAGTCATGTCTTATAGCCACGCGAGGAATTATAAAAATTAAAAAAAATTCAGCTAACGCTCATTGATGCCGCGAGAGATTTTCCTCAGAGAGATAGAACAATATTTCAGAGTGTTATGATCTCGATAGTTAGTTATTCCAATAACCGGTAAACTGCATATTCGCCTAACTAGTTTATCGAGGTGCAGTTTAGATTAGATTAGGTTAAGTTTCGATTATGTTTAAGGTAAAGCTTCGTTTGAAAATCAAAAATGGTCAAGTGTGATAATGAAATTTTCCGGAAATTAATCTGCTGAGACGATAGAGCAAAAAAGTATTGGAAAGATATGTTTTGAAAGAAAGAGCTTACACATAAACCTCTCAATATCATTTAATAGTTTCATTGTTTATATGAACTCTTCAAAAATTTTTGTTTTAATTGTTAATAATCCGTTTACAGTGTACACTTGATCGTTGAAAAACAATTTATCTCAACGGCTGACAAATAATTACAATAATTCCGCGTACTCTACTGTCAATATTACTACTTTATCTGCATGTTACCATCGCTGTGGCAATTTCGTT